TACTGGTTTTATAATCAATGCCCATTCCTGTAATATACATATCATCAACTCAAGTCACTTGACCACAATATCATAGTCATAGTCCAAAAATACATCAGGTCATTTTAATACAGGAGCAAACATATGCCATTCCTACTGTAAGAAAGTGTCCTGACAGATTTTCTGATCTGCATGCCGCTGTTAGCTTATTTGTGGGTAAACCTTCCTATAAGCAGCTATGTCTACACATACACACACACCCCAGCACACACACACACGCACAGGCTCCTGCTCAGTGGCATTCTGAGTCATTCTTTCATACAGAAAACTATGTCAACGCACGAGAGATGGTCTTCCTTTCCAATGTCAACATGACAGATAATAATAGACTTCACAACGATAACATTATTTTCAAAAGAAACATGAAAAAAGAAAGAAACTTACCATTGGTGCTGCCTCGCCTTCTCTGCCTCTTTCCCTGTTCGAGTCTGTGTGTGCAAATAAGGGACTTCCTCTATACAAGTAATGAAGAGTTATGGGTGGAGCTGTTAGAAAGTCAAAAAAAACTTTATTGAAATGACATATACATACACACACATGTTAATCTCAGGACTAGCTGGCATAAGGAAGGGACTCTTTTCAGTGCTCAACTCCTGTGTTTTAAGAGCATTGAATTGGAAGGAGTCTTGGGGACTTGATCTGAGGTGCATCAGGAAGTTCAGTGCTCTTTTTCTGGTATCTATCAGTGGAAACTGTGCTAATTCTGTCTACATGCATTTGTAGGAGTCTTTCTTCAAATGTTTAGGATGTCTCTGCAGAATTCTGCATGTAGGGTCTCAATGTAATGCTTCCCCCATCTGTTGTAGTTCTGATGACAAAGTGGACCTCAAACTTCACTTCTATAAAGCAAAATCTACTTAATAGCACTGTCAAATATTTTACACCAGATTTTAATCGGGACACTTATATTATAGAATTTATTTTTAATTGCATTGATTGTTGTTTTATTTTTTTCCAGGTCAGCCTCAATAGTTGCCTCATAAAGGATGAGGTTCATATCTCTCACAGCCTTATCCACACCTTCTTTATTGGTTTCGTATTGGTTTTGGATAAAGGTTGTTCTTTTATTCATCAATTTTATTGAATTTAGAGCTTTCACAAATTTTTCATCACTGTTTGGGGCCCATCTCCCTGAGTTGGTACAGCTTACAGGGCTCTGTTGGTTTTTTCTAGGACTGTCAGGAATATTCAAAAACAGATTTATTTGGTTGTGGTCTGAGAATGGGGTTTGCTGCCTGACAATTAATGCATTCAAAGTGGAGATGTCAGTCATTGCGTAGTCCACTACACTACACCCAAGAGCAGAAGAATATGTAAATCTCACCTAAAGAGTTTCTAGTCTTTCTAGTTTCTAAGTACCTTTTAGAAAGTACAGACTTCTGGCTCGACAGAGGTGTAGTAGCTCCCTACCACTATTGTTTGTCACACTATCAAGGTTGTTTCTGTGAGTGATGATTGGTGAGATGTATAAAGGGGTCTGGCCAAACACATGATTATTACCTTGTGGGTCGACAATATCAGATTCAGTACCAGTTCTTGCATTCAGGTCTCCACATAGTTACACATTTCCCTGGGCTGGAAAGTGGGTGATTTCAATGAGAAGAATGCTTAATATTTCCTCATTATATTATGGAGATTCTATAGGTGGGATATAAATTGCAGACATATTTCTTTTTTCATGCTGATACTTGAATTTAGTTTTAGCCAGATGTATGACTTCCCTTGTTTGACTGTGAACACATGACTGGGAAGGTCCCCTCTCTCTCTCTCTCTCTCTCTCTCTCTCTCTCTCTCTCTCTCTCTCTCTCTCTCTCTCTCTCTCTCTCTCTCTCTCTCTCTCTCACTGTTGAGCAGCTTGAAGGTTACTGCTGAATTATGTGGGTGTGGGTGTCACTACTATACGTATGATGACATCACAGAAGACATCAGGAAGCTGGACAAACTTCCCTATTTGCTTTCCAAATCAGTCTCACCTAACCATGTGACATCAATTCTGTGGAAGTGATCACAATCATTTACCATAACAAAAACAACAGTGCGGCATCCATAAAATTCTGCTGCTGTGTGTGTTTTTTGACATCATGTATTTTGGAATGTGTTACGATTGATATAACTGCATAACTCTTTCAGATGGCTCATTGAGAAGGAAGTTAACCTCAGCTACAACACAGTCTTATGGCTAAACTTGCAATAAAATAAGACAAAAGCAAGAAAACACTCTCTCTCCCTAAATACAATATTCTTCACTAGTTAAAATTTGACAAAAATCTAAGACATCACAGGCTGTATGAAGAGGGCAAATTTACTTGTCCACTTTGCTCATGAGACAAGCAACCTTAAATAAACTCAACTGAAAAACAACTGAATTAAAAAGTATCACAAGAGAAATGGAGCCACTTTGTGGTTGTTTGGAGACCACCTGGCGTGTAGCAGAGTGAGCAGACTGGCAAGCAGGGCAGGTTAAGCATAAAATCCGGTTGCAGGTGAATCTGAAGATGGATAGAATGCTGGAATACAACAGAGAAAAAAAGCAAATAGACAAAAGTTCCTATATTGAGGCAGGAAACACCTTACATATTGTGTATAACTCGATGTTCCAGCGGGGACTGGATGTGAGACCAGGTGTGTGGAAATGGCATAGGGTAATGCCCACAGCTCCTCATTAAACAGAAAAGAAAGAAACAATGAAAGAAAGAAAGAGAGAGAAACAAAAACAGATGTGAATGTTTTTTTGGACAGCAGTGGCTTCCTCCATGTTGTCCTCCCATAAACTCTATTCTTTTTCAGTGTTTTACCTATCGTAGCAGCTGTAACCAACACCTCAAATCTCGTCTCATTGATTGGACTCCAGGTTGTCTGACTCCTGACTCCTAGCTTAGTGGTTTGCGTACCATTTCCACCCTGCACTGTGAATGTTTACATAGTGTGTTCAATAAAAACATAAAAAACATATAACTGTTTGTGTGGTATTGGTTTAAGCAGACTGTGTTTGTCTATTGTTGTGATTTAAAATCAGGTCACATTTTTTGACCAATTTATGGAGAAATCCAGGTTATTCCAAAGGGTTCTCATACTTTTTCCCTTGACTGTATATTTCTCCAAACTAGAGGGAAACGCATTTTCCAAATGAAGGTTTTTCCATGATGATCAATGTTTAGTAACCAGTGGGTCTTGGGTTGAAGTGGCCTGTCTTTGACATTATGTGTTTTAGATGCAGGTGGTGTGCTATTTCCTCAAATTACACCTTGCTCATAGCATCTTTGCCGTTACCCAGAGTTCCACAGAATCCCTGATGGATTGACATTTGGATAAATCAAATGCTGCTGCTTTGGTAGGAAATCAAAATTACTTGAATGATTTGCAATTCCAGAATTCAGCCACTACAACGGAACTTTGGGAAGATACAGAAAACAGGGAACTCCAGGGTTTTTCCATGTGTATCCCTGACACATTTGAGAAAACTGCCCAGAAACTTGTCTGGGTGTGTCCTTGTCTTACCCCTATTATTTCTATTTAGCTATCTAACTCTTTTTAATGTAGTACTGTAGCCTATATGTGGTGTCTTATTATATCATTAGACTGCACATATCAGTTAATTTATTTATAGACAATGTTTGTTGAATAACCCCTTTATACTATATATATGAGTGTGGGACCGAATGTGTTTTTGTCAAAAGGGAAAATTATCATTCACATTCACAGTCACATTAGAGGCTGTGTGCTTTATCAAAAATATAATGATGGGAAACTACATATGGTATAGAGGTGATTTGAATTTTGTTTGTGGGAGGAAATAGCAGTTTAAAAGCTTGCAATGGAAATGGTTGTATGGGGTGCTGTTAAACCTTTATGTATTAGATGAGAGGGTGTTAATATTTTGACATCCAGAAAACACAACAATGAAATATAAATCAACAGCATGCATATTTATTACAAAACAAATGACAAGGCATTTTAGAAGATCTTCTGTATAGCCCAATATAGACCCACTAACACCCACAGGCTCTCTTACAGCCTTGCTTGCTCTTACGGTGTGAAAAGGAATGTGTTGGCCAGTGGGAAGTGTGGGAGGGAAGGCTCTGATATCAGTTCTCATCATCCAGGGGATTTTTGAAACTCATATCATTTGAACTATTACTAGCTTTATTCAGTAACTTCCTATTCGAGAAGTGATTCCCTAAACTGAAGCAAATGTACAACATGTCCGTATGAAGTTTCCCAAGAAAAATATGAACCACTGCATGGTGCTGCAGAGTCTGCCGCTGGTTACTGTCTATCATCTATCTGCTTGTCTCTCTAAAGCACTCAAATTAGTTTGTGCTCCAGAAATAATTAGTATTACTATAATTTACCTCTTTTATGAAGCAGACTTTTTGGCAGTCTGGGAAAGTTATTCACACTCTACAGCTTAGTAGAGCGTATTGCTGCTTCACTAAATTGGACTGTAACCAACTGATCGCTCACTCGGCTGTTTTGAGAAATGTATTGAAGGAGATATGGTATCAGTGTTATTGTTAATCTTAATGGGCTATACTGACCCCACTCATTGCCCAAAGCTTTAGTTATTCTGTAAATGGGCAGTTGGCTGTGAGGACACCGCATGACAACAGAATTTCCCTTCTATTAGTGACAGAAATAAAACTGTACATATCAAGGGAATCCCTTAGTGTTTTTTGGCATGCATATGTGACTGTGTATTCATTTTTAAAATTATTTCAGGATAAATGTTTTCATAAACAGCTATTTTACCAAGGCTTTGATTAATCTGAGTAAAAGTTAATTCCTGATCATTTGACAGATTGACAATTGTCACAAAGATCTCCATTATGTGCAGCTTCACATAGAGATTAATGTAAAAGAACTATATGCATGCAAGAAGACACTATACGCTAGAAGTCCAGGGGCCATCAAAAGCCTCTGTTAAGTTTTCACTGGAGGATTCAGAGGCGGACACAAGGAGATGTAAAACACACAATCTGGTTTATTAATCACAGTGCAGGAGAGGGAATGAATGATTTGGGAGAGCGAGGTTTTCCAGGCAGAGTGCTAGGTAATGGTGTTCTTAGTTCTGTACGGGGCGGTGTGGCTTGGCAGGCTGACAGGCAGAGTCAGGTAGGCAGTGTCTCGGTCTCGGGTGGTACTGAGGGAGGACATTAGGCAGAGATCACAAAAACAACACTCAAAAATTCAGAGAGGCAAAAGGTTTGGCCAGAGCAATTGTACCACAGGAGGTAAACTGACAAACTGGCAAAGAGTGGGAGCTGAACCAGGGTATTTGACTGTAGGTGGTGATTACTGGATGAGCCGCAGGTGTGAGACTTTGCCGGTGGAGAGGAGCCAGGATTGGACACGCCCATGAACACACATACACACACACAGCACATGACAAACGAGACAGACAGGAACAGCAGAGAAGGGAGCCACAGGGAGAACACTAGGAAATAGGAGGAGGCGAGGTCTAATCATAACAGTCTCTGTGTGATAATCGGTTTGTGGTAATCATTTGCAATATAATATTTATTTACAAAGCAAACTATCAACTGACATAATAAGGGCCTTAATATGTCCTTCTTTATTATCTGATATTGACATTGAAGCTTTTTTTTCCTAAATGATATTTTGACATTATGTAATAAATCTCACAGCAAACCTGGGGACACACAATCCAGCATAGAAATACTACACAATGCAACAGAGGACTAATAGGGACACTTTTGATCAAATTAATTCAAATTTTTGAATGTGTAAAAAATTTACAAACAGATTGAATTACTTAATCCATACAATCTGTAACTGTGCATGACATTTTGTGAACAAATGAAAAAGATTTGTACAAATAATTTCCAGTGTGTGAATGCATAAAGACAAATACCAAACCTACAAGGCCAGTTGCCTCACATTTGACACTCAGATTAATATATAATTTGACTATCCACTCAGAAATATAAATTCATTATCCAATCAAAGATCCAGGGGGGTAGGCCTTTCTAGCAGGTTTTTCATGAGTTCTCTTTATACTTCCAGGGTAACATTAGATCGTCTGTGGGCCAAACACTCAAATAAGATCAGTAATCAGTTCACTGAACAAAATGCCCTGGTCTGTTAAACATTCATTCATGTAAGCTAATGTAATGATTTATTGCTAACATGAAGAATCACAAAGACACCAATAAAGCTGGTAATAAAGAGTTGTAGTAGAAGGCAGTAAAAGGAATAATAATGCTAAATACCATTGTAGCCATAGCTAGGTATGTACTGTATCTGGCATTATGGTGTGACATTTCATAGCTATCACTTGAATCTATTTTGTTTTTCACATACTTGATGAAGATGGTCTTCTTGACATCAGGAACACTGAATCACCTTCAGATTGGCATGGCCACATACTGTACTTGCAGATGCTTGAATACCAGCAAATAATATAAACTGTTTTCTACACCATACCTGGAAAGAGAAAATATTCCGTAGTACCAGTTATGGTAAGATTTTTGCCCAAATGTCAGGCATATCATGAAAAATGTTTATATGCACAGATAACAAGTAACAAATATTACATAAATATAACAATAACCCAGGTACTGGCCATATTTTTGTTATTCTGGTTAAGTTTTTTACCTGTACCTTTAATCCCTTGAGTTTCCCTGTTTTCTACAAACTAGCATTATTCCTTTAATTAGATAAGAATATTCCGTTTGACTTGTGGTGTGCTGGCCAAAGATACAGATACAACGAAAAAACTGGTAGTTCTCTGATGATTCACCACTACCATTGGCTTCTTAAACACAACATAAACTCAAGAAAGTGACCACATTTCACTAAAACTAGTTTCTGTCTAAATCTGTGCATAGAGATTGATTGGTTAACAGATACTCCACTCAAATTGTCAAGTCAAGTCACACGGATGAGAGAACTTCTATGTGATTGCTCTTTTCAAAAATGGGAACTACTAAGAACAATAGCTGTTGGCTACATAAAATATCACCAGACTCACTGTTTTCTAAAATGTTCTAGTTATGGCTAGGATACAAAACCGTCCACCATTCTAAACTTCATGTTCTGAGGAACACCGTAGTGCAGGAGTTCCCTAATATTTCAGGCATGTGATGCCATATTAAATTCATAAACTTCCAGTGAAAAAATATGCATAGAAATTGTATTCATGTTGCAAGTGTTATTGAAATAAAGCGAGCAAGGTTCAGGTGTCATGAAGAAGTTTCAGGGACTGATGAAGACTTAAACAGCATATTTTATTGAGCCTGGTCGAGGAAATCAGTGCCAGCGTACAACGTTTGAACACATGGAATGCCAACACCAAAACTGACTATCTAGGGCTATTTATCTTTCCAAGACCTTCAGAGATTCACTAAGTGTCCAAATAAGGTTACCGATCACCCCTCTATACATGTGTGGAGATGTGTGTCATTAGAGCCACATGCAAAACTGTCTACCTAGAGCCAATCAGTCTGTCTGTAATAAAACTGTGAAAGATAATCTCGACCTTGGGTTACCTAACAAATAAATAACAGTGCATCTTTATCAAGGCTACTGTGTCAGTCAGTCTACCAGGCATGCTTAGAGTTGAGACAGAATCAGACCTACTGTTTTGGAGACTCCATGGCTGTCACCTTTGGCTTACTTTAGCTGAGCAATTTACCTGGGGAAATCTGTGTCATAGTACCCCTAAATTTGACAAAGAAGGACAGATAAGGTGCTTTCATACTGGCATATTTTCCAGGAGTATTGCACCAATATGACTTGTACGCTGTATTAAAAGGTACTGAGCACGAAAGGCGGGTCAGATTTGATCCGCCTCTGAGCCGGGAACGTTGGTAGTAACAGAACGGACATGATGTCTGTGTGTCCGTGTGTTGTATTATACCTAAGTCTTTTTCTACGCTGCTCGTTCAGGAAAGCCAGATTGCTATGTGTTTTTTCATTATGAATGAGCAAATGCGGCATATTGGCATATATTCTTTCTGCGTTTACTGAGTGATCGCTGTATAAAAACAGCTATAGATGAAGTATAGTGAAGAGGGGATAACGAGATACAGGTGAGATGAATCAGGGCGGTAATCACACATGCAGGGAACACAGGGACAGGAAACACATAATGTAAAATTAGATGAGTATACAGTATAAGACAGGGAATACTAAACTGAGAAAAAAAAAGCAAGAAAACACAATTTATTAGATATAGGATGTAACAGTTATGAACAGATTTACAGTAGCTGGTATGAGCGACTTGGCATCATAGTAAAACATATTGAAATATATCAAAATAGGTCTCTATTGGATTACTGTGTGGAAATTAAAAAAAAGGTGTGGCAGACAAATGGCTGTAATTTGAGACACTTTTTGATTTACACCTACCCTGGGGGATATGCTATAACTATTTAGTTGTTACTGACCTATGCTGTAATCTATAGTGTAATTGCTTTTATATTTTAGTGATGCATTCATCACAACTGTAATAATGTTATAACTAGGCTAAGTTTTAAATTACACACACCTGGTGCAATAGGCTGCTGAACTTCAAATTTACCTTCGTCATGCCAGATTGTGTCACGGATTGGGGTGCTGAGTGCAGACTGGGGCGAGGACCCAAATGCAGATAATGGCAAGGCAAGGAGGTTGCAGTACAAAAATGTTTATTAACTCAAAAAAAACAACTTAAACAGGCTTACAAGGAGCTCGAGGCAAAGTCCAACAAAGGTAGTCCAAAACACAGGGAATAATCCAGAACTAGGAAGACAAAGGAACAGGCAGGAACACTCAACTTTAGACGCAAGGACGTGACAAAGACTGGAGAGACAAGCAGGCATACATATACACAGGGACTAACGAGCAGGATCAGGGCTAACGAGGCAGAGAGACAAGCAGACATGGGACAGAGTGAATAACCAAGAAGACAGAAACACACACAAGTTACAAAGAACCAGAACCTAAACGAGAACACAGGAGACCAAATCACAATAATACAAACAAGGACCAGGAATGATTACCAAAACATGAACTAAGGACATGGAACTAAACTCAGACTCCCAAACAAGACACACAGACAGGATCATGACAGATTGGTGACATATAGTGATCCTGCGTCTCCCTTTTTCATTAAAAGAGTAGAGTAGTAGTAGTAGAGTAGTAGAGTGCGTCGTCCGAAGGCACCATCTGTCCCGAGGGATCCATTTTCTCATTTGCAGTCAGACTGGGGGGGGGGGGGGGGACAGGTCACACTGGAAATTATTTGTGAATAAAAACAAAACAAAACAAAATGTCACATACAGTTACAGAACTGAAAATGAAATCTATTTGTACATATATTTTTTACACATTCAAACATTTGGATTAATTTGATCAAAACGTTTTAACACATTCACCCATTTAACTGTACAAATCCAAAATGTTTTCACACATTCAGATATGGTGATACGCAGTTACAATACATTTGACCATTGACTCCATACTATACGGGAGCTGTGTTTGGTAAATGCAATACATTACACTTTATCTTTGGTAAAATGACGAAATGAAATGCATTGTCAAATTTCACTAGCCAGGACATTAGTAATACCAATTCATTTTATATACACTGATCTTCTGAAAAATGTATAAACCTTATGGAGATCCAGCTGGTACGACGAAAATATTTTTTATCCAACCAACTTGTCTAAGTAAATTTCGTAAGTAAACTGCGTATGGTTCTAGTTCCGCTGTGTCATGTGGTACAAGGAATCGTTGTTGCTACCTGGTAACCATGCAAGCATAATCCTGGTGAACACACAGACACGAGCAACAGATTGCTACAGCTTCACTCCATGAATGAAGTTACCAAAAGTTCCGAGAGTAGAACATTTGGTGGCAAAACGGTATGAAACCAACGTTTCTATTAGTGTGCTAGCGTGCTGAAGCCAGCTAACGTTAGCTAAAATGCTTCACTTTAATTTACAGAGGCGGTGCGCTAACGTTAGCTGGCTAGCTAATGTTATTCGCCATCCTATAGCCACCATTGCTTAGCTAACGTTAGAGTGCTGCACCAATTTGCAAACATTATTTTATTACCACATGCAAATAGAAGAAGCTGCTAAAACACGCAGAACGCTTTCTGTTTTTTAAGCTAACGTTGTTTCAGGGCTAGGACACATTTAAGATAACTTACAGTTTAGCAACGACAGCACTGCTATAACTTATAATGCATCACTTCAAACAGTTTAAATGTTACTAAACAACCTCATAGGGCAAAACAACTAACTTGTTAACGTTAGTTATACGTTGCATAGACAGTGAACCGGGAAACTTGAAGGTTCATATGGTTTGACGAAGGCTACGGGGCTATAAACAGGACTGTTTCATTGTTTCTGGTCCCCAGAATACAAAGTTAAAGCGTAACTTAACGTTAACCAATGCGAGGTTTACTGAACCTGATATGGCCCCAGTTGCTTCTAAAATGCTAACACGTTACACTTAAAATTAGGAAGGTTGGAAAACAGGCAATCTGTAGAAATAAAACTAACGTAACGTTATCTGTTTTATACAATAACTGCCATTAAGCCATATTCATCCCATAGTGTGGTCCTTTACAATGATATTTTCTGTAACGTTATACTACAGATTTCTCTGCATCAGTAACATTATTACAGCTGAAAGATGCCCAACGGTTCAGATGATGCTCGCAAGAAGTTTATCCTGACCACAACTGGAAACTTCTATGGGATAAAGCCTTCATCTTCCCTGGCTGACAGCCCAGAGCTTAATAACTTCTTGGATGATGGAAATGAATTTGTCCTGTCTGTCAGCAGACATGACAATAACCTTCACTTGACAAATAAGGTAACACAAATGCATTGTTACAATGTTAAGGCAACATATCCATGTGAAAAGCTTAGCCTCAGGGCTCATACTGCAACAATCGTAATCTTTAACTAATGTTTGTTAATTGATTAAATAGACAAACATCTCCAGCATAAACCATAATTTATGATGAATAAGCCATTTAATCAAACAAAGATTTACTCCTGGAAATGCTCTGCAGTAAAGATATTGAGCTGATTTTAAAAATGTGCCCTGTGTCACTGACTTTAAGTTTTTCACTGTATGTGTCAAATGAATGGCCTGGTAGTGTGTACAGTATATGTGCATGTCATGTAACTTTATTCATACTTAAAATGACAACAGTTAACCATCATATGTTGACTTGACAGTGAAACAGTGTGTTTTTGTCTTTTCAAACATTTCATCTTCCTTTGTCAGATTGAAGCATCGGGGGACAGCAGAGACAAGGTGTTGGTGTTCTTCAAACTGCATCCCACAGTGATCACAGAAGACAACCTTCACCAAAGCCTCCTTGTGTCATCCATGCTGGAGTCTCCCATCAACACCCTCTATCAGGCTGTTAGACAAGTCTTTGCCCCTGTATTGCTGAAGGTGAGTCTGTCCCTGTGTACTAAAGAATTCAGAAAGAAAACACAGAGAAGTACTACAACACAAATCAGCTGGACCAGAGTCTCTGTCTCCTAAGACAGTCACTAACGCAAAGGGCTGCGTAATCATATTACATCACATAAATACTTTTGAAGTGTTTTTCCCTAAAGCTTTTCATAAGTGATTGGGTTCCCAAATAAGGCAGGAGCAGAGAACAAGACTGTTTAGTCTAACACTTAAAAAAGTTTCCCTCTTTCTCTTTTCTCAAGGATGAGAAGTGGCGTTCAGTATTTGATCCTAAGCTGGCAGGCCTGCTGAGTGAGCTGGAGCTTGGCCTGGGCTCAGTGGTCCGCCAGTCTGGAGCACAATCCTCTGCCAAGAAGGCCCGCACTGAGGAAGATGTTCTTGGTATGCAAACATATTTTTTTGCAGAAATAAATACGTGTATAGAAGGAAAGTGTTTACCACACACACATATATTATATTTTATAAAATATACTGTACTAAGACTACTATATGCATCTCTCAGTGTGGCCTATCAGGAAGTGTGAATGGCAAACATGATTTTCATTTCATAAAGGAGGTAAAAAAATAAATAAACAAGAACAATTTCTCAACAGAATCGGATAAGAACCAGTATACATTATGACTTTTACACAATTGTTCATATTCTTTACACTCTACGCAGGCATCCTGACTCCCAGTGATGAGTTCCAGTACTGGGCTGATCTCTCTGAGTCTGCTGATAAAAACAGTGTGAGAGAAAAGGCTACACATTTCACTGAGCAATTTCAACCCATACAAAAGGTATGCATACAAACCTTTACGTATCAGAACTGGCTACATAAAAAAAAAAAAGAAGACATTTACTACATATTGTTTATGTGTATGAATACAGGGTGGTCGCTTAGTGAAATACACTGAGAATTATTGAGATTTGAATTATAATCTTTAACTCCTAAGCAATGATTCCACAGATAGGGTTACATAAACATTATTTTTCACATACTGAACAATATTTAATAATTGCTCTAGAAGCTAATATTTCAATTTGTAGTGAACCAACTGTGAGAAAACTAAACATAACTAATGTTCTCTTTGTGTTTCCACCAGGAGTTTGATGGTCTTGATGGCTTGTCTATGCTTGATGTTGCGGACCTGGTGGAACAGAGCAGAGACATTCTGGACGATGTTTGGAGGCAGACTGACTTTGAGCCTTATCCAGAAACACGCATGGTCCGACTCATGGATGTTATCGGTGGGACTCGCTTACCCATACACAAACCAAAACCAGAAAATGAAAACAAATATGTGCTGATGTTTTTAGGATCGAGTTTTCAGCAACACTTCTGTGTCATAAAGTTCATTTCATCAAGTTCATTCGATACTCTGGTTGTTTATGAAATACTCATATTTTGAGAAATGAAACTAAGCTTGTTTTCCCAGGAACTCCTCAATATACAGTACCAACTATTTATAGAGAACATGGCTTGTCAATAATTAAATGTTGAAAAGTGTGAGATCGTAGTGATTTTATAATTATGTTGACTCTAACCCGTAAGAAACATGGCATTGCCTTCAACTAAAATG